GGACTGGATGATCTTTCCAGGTCCCTTCCAATCCCTGACATCCTGTGATTCTGTTTCCAGCAGCAGAGCTCACAATTGACCAATGATTATTTTGGGTTAATATTGCTGAGGTTCTCTAACTAATGAAACCAGTCTCTGTCGAGTCCAATTTAAGGTGAGCACACTCTGCAGGTTTATGCAAAGGAACTTGGGTGACAATGATCAATAAAAAATAGGGATGAAAGCTGAGGAATTCCGAAGCTGGGTGGGACACGTCAGGGGGAGCGATCCCCCGTGTCCCCAGCGCTGCCATAAAGCACAGCCTGACCCTTCAGCCTGGCCAGGACTTTATTTCTGGGTTTCAGTAGTGGGGAGAAGGGGACAAGTGGCCCCAGCCCCCTGCCCAGGTCCAAATGCTTTAGTCAGGTACGTTTGGAGGAGGAGCGGGGCCGGCTCCGTGGGGCTGCTGGGGTGCAGTGTGTCCCGAGGGACGGCCGGGATTAAGGGCTGCTCCTGGGCTGGATTTACGTAAGAGAGATAAAAGTGGAGCCAGCCGAGGACGGGGGAAGGTGAGGAGGGCAGTGAAGGCTCAGCTGCAGCCGTGGGGTGGTGATCCTGCTCCCCATGGGCATGGTCAGCCCATCCCCAGTGTCACCTGTGCTCCTGGAGGCACCGCTCCCCCGAAACTCGTGAGTATTTGGGGGCTTTTAGGGTAAAAAACTAGTGGCCTTGCACAGCCACAGCTGGGAGGTTCTGTTTGTGTGGGATCCTGTGTGTGTGTTTGTGTGGGATCCTGTGTGTGTGTTTGTGTGGGATCCTGTGTGTGTGTTTGTGTGGGATCCTGTGTGTGTGTTTGTGTGGGATCCTGTGTGTGTGTTTGTGTGGGATCCTGTGTGTGTGTTTGTGTGGGATCCTGTGTGTGTGTTTGTGTGGGATCCTGTGTGTGTGTTTGTGTGGGATCCTGTGTGTGTGTTTGTGTGGGATCCTGTGTGTGTGTTTGTGTGGGATCCTGTGTGTGTGTTTGTGTGGGATCCTGTGTGTGTGTTTGTGTGGGATCCTGTGTGTGTGTTTGTGTGGGATCCTGTGTGTGTGTTTGTGTGGGATCCTGTGTGTGTGTTTGTGTGGGATCCTGTGTGTGTGTTTGTGTGGGATCCTGTGTGTGTGTTTGTGTGGGATCCTGTGTGTGTGTTTGTGTGGGATCCCGTGTGTTTGTTTGTGTGGGATCCTGTGTGTTTGTTTGTGTGGGATCCTGTGTGTGTGTTTGTGTGGGATCCTGTGTGTTTGTTTGTGTGGGATCCTGTGTGTGTGTTTGTGTGGGACCCTGTGTGTTTGTTTGTGTAGGATCCTGTGTGTTTGTTTGTGTGGGATCCTGTGTGTTTGTGTCAGGTTCTGCCTGTGTTTGTGTCAGGTTCTGCCTGTTTTTGCTTACAGGAAATTGACTTAGAGGTGCCCAAAGCTGTGGTGAACATGTTGTAAGGGCTCAGCCCTGCTGGGACTAAGTCACTGCCTGCAGTTTTTGAGTTAAATAGCTGAGCAATCCTCCAGAGGGTGGGACATGTCACATTAGGGTTATTTTAGACCTTCTGAAATGTTCTCTGGGAAGGTGAGAGGGGCCAAGGCAAGCTGGGCATGGTGAGGAGCTGCTTGTCCCTGGGCAGGGGCTGCTCAAAAAGCCGTGCTGTGCTCTGACAGGACTGTTTCCTCTCTCTTTTTTCCCCTCTTTCTCATTTCAGCTTATTTTTTTCCTTTTTAAAAAGTCCCTGAAGGAAGTGCTCGTCTCCTCTGTAGAAGCTGCAAAGCCTGGAGAGTCTGGTTGTAACTTCTGTGCTGCTCCAGCTCCACTCCCTGTTTCTGCAGCCCATGTAGAAGGTCTTTGATTCGGTGTTGCTGTGTCCCCTGCACTGTAAGCAGAGCGGAGAGGTCTACCCTGCTCCGTGTTTTCTTTCCTTTGGGGGTGGCTTGGGCTGTTGGTGTTGTGACTGGGGCAACTTCTTCCCCCTTGGCCTTAGGAGGGGTGTTGAACTGTGAAGCAGGGAGCTCCTGGCTGTGCCTGCACAGTGACTGGCAACTGGGCTCAGTCTCATCCCCAAATGAGGGTGACATGAAGCAGAATTAAATTCCAGCAGCCTTTACCTTTTGTAGAGGAGGTGGGGAAACACGCTTGGAAATAATGTAATATTTCTTCCCCTCCTTTTTCTGCTGTTAATTCACTTTGAGCTGCTGCCCAGTGCTTTTAGCTGTGTCCTCCTGCCTTTACCAGAATCCATCAGTTCTGGCACCAGCTTGTTCCCCTCCCACAGCGCCGGGTCCCGGTTTCCCGTGGGGCTCTGCCGTGCGCTGTGTGATGGGGAAGCTTTATCTCCCAGTGCAGTTGGTGGTTCTGATTTTGTGTCGATTCTTTTGTGCTGCCAGGGCAGGGAGCCATGCCAAGAATTGCGATGTGCATGGGTAACCAGCTCGTCCTGGAAGATGATCCCAGTGATCCCTACATTCCCAGCGATCAAGGTAACTGCCGCCTGTCCTCTCGGGAGCTGCAAGGAGGGATCTGGGCATGAGGGTGGCTTCTAAGTGCATTAAGAAAACAGGAGTCAGGGAGAGCGTGGGTGGGAGGGTAGAAGAGCTGAAAAACCAGCTTTTTGGTGGTGAAGATAAATGCTATTTTGCAGTCTTTACCAGCCCACTAAGACCTGCTCACTGACACGTGGGGCCATGCTGGCGGCTTTGAGCAGCTTTGTTTCAGGAGGAGGATTTCACAGTGTGCCCGTTGCTTTACCTGAGGAGGATGGCTTTGTTGCAGAGTGCCTGAGGTAGATCATCTCCACAGATCCCTCTTCTCTTCCCCTAGAAGTCCATGCTTTTGCACAGGAGATTGGGATTGACCCTGAGGTGGAGCCAGAGCTGCTGTGGCTGGCCAGGGAAGCCCTCATGGCCCCGTTACCACCTGAGTGGAAGACCTGGTGAGAACTTTGGCAGTGGTTGTCCTGTTAGATTCCTGGGCTCCCCTGTCCTTCCCCTGCTGCGTGCCGCCCACGTCGGGGGCAGAGCCGGGCACCGGCTGGCGAGGGGGGTAGTGCCATGACAGATGTGCTTCCTGTGCATGGGGTGGTACTTGTTCTCACTTCTCGTGCTGCTTTTGCCACACAGCCAGGACGTAGCCAATGATGCCATCTACTACTTCAACTTTGGTAACGGTGAGTCCACGTGGGATCACCCCTGTGATAACCACTACAGGGAGCTTGTCATTCGGGAGCGAGAGAAGTTGCTGGCACGTGGCAGCTTGAAAAAGAAAGAGAAGAAGAAAGATAAAGAGAAGAAGAAGAAAGAGAAGAAAGATCAGAAGGAGAAGCAGTCACTCAAGCGACCCCCTGTGAGTAGACTCTGCTTGCAGTGCTGCTGGGGAGAGCTGGATGTGAACTGGGGAACTGCTTATTCAGCTGTTTTTAGCTTAATTTTGTTTGCTGAATGTGAAGTCCCAGAGTGACTGAGTTGGTTAAGGTGACAGAAGACACCACAAGTTGCAGCCAGCTTTCCTGCATCCATGGCCGGTACTTTGAGAAAATAGACTCTGTTCCCTCTCAAATGAAATTAAAAATGGGGGAAAATTTGAATTAGCTTTCTCAAAGTGGAGGAGGAGTGTTCCCGGTGGTTACAGGCCGTTGGTTTGCAGGCGGGTGCAGTACTGACTTGTCTGGGCACAGTCTGGTCCTTGAGTGGCTGCTGCTGTGGTCTTAGGACACTAAGGTGGCTTACTGGTGTGATAGGGCCCACCCACAAGTGGAATCTTCTCCTTCTTCCTCTGGGAGTAGCTGGACCATTTTGCTTTGTTTTGCCCAAACTTTTTGCTTCTGTTGCCTGCAGCAGGATCCCGCCCTTCACTGGGAAGAATGCTCCAGGTTGGTTTGTCTTTTTTGCATGAGTAATTGCCTCAATTTAATAAGAACTTATCAAATCCCTTGTTCTGAAGAAAAAATGAACTGAAAGGTCACCGTGTGTAATGTTAATGAATTGCTTCGCTCTAGTGTAGCTGGTACCCAGCTGTGGTTACACCAAATTGCCAGCTCGGGTTTCTAATTACCAGTGTGTGGTAGCGCTGGGTTAGCTGATAGGAACCCTGGCTATAAATATCAGATAAACTGCAGATTATCCTGAAAGTTTTAATTAGCCTGATGGAAGAGAGTTTCTCTTTGCTGAAGGACAGCTAACGTCCTCTGCTCCGTACGGGTAGCTAACGGCCATCCCCAGAAAATGATTAGTTAAGCCCAGAACTGAGTGTGATTGATTCTGTTACCATTGCTGTGGCAGTGACTTGATGGAAGAAGGCTCTGTGTGTATTCATCTCCTTCTCCCCATCCCTCCCCGTGTGAGGGAATTGATGCTGTTCAGTCTCTGATCTTGGATAGACCCGGAGTATAGGAGCTGGGATTTCTGCCTGCAGACGTGCTCTGCTGATGTGCTACAGAGAGAATCCTGCCCATGTTTGCTTCTGGCCTGACCTGTGCAATATATCACAGGGTGAGACAGCTTGGGGGGCAGTTCCACAAAGTCAGGGAGCATGGGCACATCTCTGGGTGAGGATAACTTGGGATGTCAAACATGCCTTGCTCTGGGGTGAGGATGTTGGATGGCAGCCAGGGCTCTTGCTGCCCTTTGAAAGGGAGAGGTCTGTTCAGGAGCTTTACGGGTGTGCTGCAGCAGAGCTGCTCTGTACCTTTTCCACTGCTGTGAGCTGAGGCAGCAGCCTGGATTTTGGTCTGAAAGGAGGTGGTAATTGCAGCTGGTGGAGAGTAGGAGGCTTGTTGCCATCAGTGGTTCCTATGTCCCTTGTTTCATGCCGTGCAGAGTAGCGAGGGCGAAGCCACCCTGGGGCGTGTGGTGTTGGGTCAGAGCTTCTCCCGGACGGTGCTGTGTGGGGGTACATACAGAGATGGGTGAGCTGACGTGGCTGCTCTTGCTCTCTGCCTTTGGAGTAATGCCCCTTGATTTTCTGGATGGCTGCTGTAAAGTAGATCACTGTGTTCAGGTGGGTCTCTGGAAGATAAACCGTGTGAGTAAATCAAACTGCTGCTCCGTGGGTGTCTCGCGGGGTGCGGGGCCTCCCAAGCAGTGGGTCAGCGTGGTGGGTTCAGGATCAGCAGGTGGTGTTGGCACAGGGGAGCGCTTCCTCCCTCTCTGAAATGAGCAGTGTAAGCCGTGCTGACCCGTCAGTGAGTCCCTCCTGCACCCTCCAGCCTGCAGGCGCCGTGCTAGCACCCATCCAGGCACCCCTGAGGAACCTCGCTCCGCTGCGTGGCCGGGCGCCGGCTCCTGCCGGCATCCTCCATGGGCTGCTGCACTCGGACCTGGGGAGCTCGGTGGAGTCCAGCCTTGTGTCCAAGGGAGGAATGCAGGTGAGGGCACAACGATCTCTTGTCAATGTTGAAATATTTTTGTCTTAAAAAAACCCACTTCCCTACTGTCTTTCACTGTGTCTTTTGCTACCTTTAGGGAGCCCAGTGCTAAATTTGTGGTGAGCTTTCTTCTGCTGTTTGGCAGATTTAAAGAAATAACTTTCAATTGTTCTTGGGGGGGAAAAAGTCTGTTAAGTTCATTTTAATAGAACTTTGATTTGTGTCCAAATGAAGCATGACATACAGTACAGGTACTGTAATCTAATATATAATATATTCAGTCAACTATTTGCTGAGAATAAAAGAATTAAAGAACAGTTTTCTGGATGAATGCAAGAGTTACAGTCACGTTGAATGATTATGTATAGAAGGTGACCTTTGGGTCAACAAAACAAACGTGTTAAGTGGTAACAAATTGGTCTGTTAAAGGCAAACAAATAAACCTTCAGCAGAGGTGTCGATTTCTATGATGTTTTTCTTGTCACTGGTGATTTCAAACGTTTTGTTTTATTATAGTCTTGACTGAACCAGTGTTTGGAGGCACAGGCAGGTTTTGCAGATGTGCTCCTGTAGCAGAGGAGCCTCTTTGGTGTAAGGGCCTCATAAGGAATGTGTCATCTCCCAACTGGACATGGCTCCAGCAGAACAAGGGTGGCAGCGTCATCCTGAGCAGCTTCACTGCTGCCAGCCGGTGTCTCAGTGGGTCTGTATCTCCCCTTTCTCTTCGCCTGTCCTCTCCCTTCCCTCTCTTTCTGACTTCACAGCCTGCAGAGATCTGTAAGCCCACCAGCCAGACCGAGAAGTTGCTGGGCTTGGTCTGTGAAGAGAAGAGTTCCTTGAACGCAGCAGCTCCAGAACAAGGGAGGAACGAGGAGGAAGAAAGCGAGAATGAGGTAGTTCGTGTGCCTCAGCTCTTAACGTGTGTCAGTAACCGTAGTGCCTGAAGCCTCAAGGGATGAAAAACTGTCATGCTTCCCTGGTAGCAGCTGGTTGACCATGCCTGTTCCATTTGAGCCTGAGCCTTAACCTGTGCTGTATTTCCTCTGTGTGTTTTTGGTCACTAGAAAGTATCTCATCCTGTTTTCTCCTTGTACTGCCTAGAAATCAATATCTGCCATGATGTATTTCTGAAAGGAACTGGCTGTAGGCTTCTTGCCTTGGCATATTGCTCTGGCTCTGCTGCCTTATTGCCCTGACTGGGAACCCCAGTTCCTCCTGGGTGGCCTGTGGGATCACAGGGATCAGAACTCTGTGTTGACCATCTCCTTTTTTAATAGAGTCTCCGTGGGACAGGAAGACTGTTCAAAAACTTGCACTTGGATGTCAGCGCCCTGGGAGGCAGCTGTGACTCTGAGGTAAGAACAGGGGTGATGTGAGATGGGCAGGAGAGGAGCTGTGGCACTGCCAGCAGCGCCTGGGCTGGGGAGTGAGAGCGCAGGAGAGGTGCCTGAGGGACACGTGTCACTTCTGGGCAGGGACAGCCTGGAGCAGGGATGGGGGAGCGCGAGGGGAGCGTGTGAGAAGCCAGCTGCAGTCTGCAAGGGACAGCAGTGTGGACATCGAGGGCAGGGTTGTGCTTGAAGGAGAAGGCTTGAGCTTTGGTAGGTGGGGTTTGAGGAGACTGTGTCTTTGCACAGCGTGGAGCTGTGTTTTGTGTTTCTTTCTGAGTGAAGACAGAGAGAAACTTATGGCCATTAGGTGCGATGGGCAAGCTGGAAATGAGCTCAGAAAGGAGAGGGTCTCAGATCCGAGAGGTGCCACTGTGCTTGCTGTGGGAGGAAGGCTTGTTGAGGAAGAGCATGGTTTGCTTCCTGATGGCTTCTTTTTTCAGTGTGTGTGGAAGGAAGGCTCGTTCTCAGCTGAGGTTGGCACTGGGGAGAGGAGAGGGGAGTGTACTCTGGAAACACCGTTCCTGCGCTGTCACTCAGAGCCACAGAAATCTTGGAAGCTTCCATGCACACGTGGCCACTTTTCTGTGACAACCTCAAACCTGTTTTCTTTCTTCTGGCACTGCTGATAAAGTCTGTGGCTCAGACAGTGTCAGCAAGAAGTTCAGTACCCGCGTGGCCTTGTGCAGACGCCGCTTTCCCTGCGGGTGCACGCGCTCTGCCTGCGCTTTCTCGGCGGTGATCAGGCTTAAGATGACAAGGGCACAAAGGGAAGTGCGTGGCAAGCAGCTCTGGTGATTCAGCCCGACTGTTTGTGCTGACATTAATCCTTTCTCACCGCTTTGAAAAATTCTGTTCCACTATCTGAAAGGCAAATTAATTTCTTTTAAAGTGTTTTACAGTATTTCCCTTATCCTTTTCACAGCATATGAAAATTAAGCTGTAAAGGACTTTGCTTGGGGAGAACCCATTCATAGTGCTGGGCAGAAACTGCAAAGGCTTATGCTAAAGTGGATGTGAAATAGAAAGGCCTGACGACTCTGTGTCTCCAGCCCAATTTGTCACTGAAATGTTAATGTGTTGGGGAACAAAGAGCTGGTGGCATTTCAGTTCTATTATGAAATGGCAATTGCCACCCAACAGCCAGGCTCTGTTAACCCAGATGGGTGATATCTCAGTCCTGAGAAGATGTTAGTGCCCCACTGGAAAATATAATTCACGGGTAGTTCCATGAGATGGCAGTAGGAAAGCGTTCCTGTGAGCCAGCCTCAGCCTGCAGCCCGAGCCATTCTCCAGCTTCCTTACAAAAGGAGGGAAGGAAAGGATTCCCATAACAAGCCTTCCAGGGGGAAATCTGAGCAGTAGTGGGGTGAAGTGATGAAAAGGCTTCACACAGCCTGTGGATCAGGGCTGAATACCTGTATTCAAAGGAACTAAGTGTGTGGTTTTAGTGTCTTGCTGGGACACAAGATGTTGGGTGAGAGCGGAGGCTGCATGAAAGAGAGAGGAGAGATGGAAAGAGATGCAGCCCCCTTCAGCAGGCTTCTCTGGAGCAGGGAGTGAGGTAACTGGGGTTTTGGTTTCAGTGCCTTTTCCCAAGTCAGATGCAGGAGAGCTTGAGATGTGAGGTTTATGTGCAGTAGATAGAGTGGACTCTTGGAAAGAGGACCTCTTTCTAAACAGCTTGTTTGCTCTTGGAGTTAGCTGTTCCCTGAACCCAGCTTTCTTGCCTCCTGAATTCCTGTGATGGAATAGTGGCTGCAGATGTGTGAGACTCTGCTCTAAAACAGAAAAGGGCTTTGGGACACTACTGGAAGGGGCAAGAGGAGGAAGAGGTCTGGCAGCATCTCTGGGTGCCTGGGGAGAGGGTCCTGCAGCAGCAGAAGTGATCCCCTGAGGTAGTGCTTGCAGCTTGGGAGGTTGAGTACTCTGCCTTCTGTCCAGGTCAATCTCTGGGTAAACACTGGGAACCGAGGGGGTCCTGTGTGTGGTGGGAAATTACCACGCAAGGCTTCTTTACCAGATGGAGATGTGTGAAAGGGGCTGTCTCTGTAAGTAAACATTGCACAATACAGCTTGTGTGTTACTGCAGGGATGTATGTGCAGGAGGCAGTGCTGCTGCTTCCCAGGAAACTAAAGAGTCATCCATAAACTATCTGTGTGGGGCTGAGCAGTGAAAGGGGAGGGATGGCTGAAGTGTTCGCAGCCTCGCTCTCCCCTGAGCTGGGCTGAGAACTGCTGTAGTGAGCCAGCATCCTCAACTGGGATGAGTCTGGTAGAACAGCGAGTTCCTTGGGCTGGCTGGCAGGAAAAGCAGCAGCAGGAAAGTGTGCAGAGCATAAATGGTCTGACGTTTGGGGATCTGAGCCTGTGGGCTCCTGAGCAGCGGCTGGAGAGCTCTGGGTGGTAGGCAGGGCTGTGACTGTCACAGGCGGGTGACCCTACCCACTTGGGAAGGTGGTGTGAGGGCTTTGGCTAGGGGATGTGTTACCCCCTCACTAGCAGAACAGCGGAGCAGAGGAGGAGGACTCTGCCAGCCGGGTGGCTGATGTTGCTGACGCTGATCTCCAGCACCGAAGGAGTCCTGCAGAGGAAGCGGGTGGCCTGAGCGAGGTGGGGAGCGGGTCTCTGACATCATGGTCCCGCTCGCATGATGTCACTGAAGCTTGGCGTGCAGTAGACAGCTTCTAGTGCTGTGATGTGGACCTGACAGTTGCTTGGTTTGTTTCCTTTGCTGGTTAAAGTATTACGTGCATGGAGAGGGGTGTCAGCTTAAAAACCAAGGGCAGATGCTACCCAGATGAGGTCTGGCAAACCAAACCCTCTCTCTGTACCTCTGTGCAGATGATGATGAGGCTTTGAGCAACCTGGTCTAGTGGAAGGTGTCCCTGCTGATGGCAGGGGGGTTGGAACTGGATGAGCTTTAAGGTCCCTTCCAATCCAAACCAGTTTGTGATTCTATGACTTCTCCACTGGAGTAACACTACAGAAGTGCCACTCACACACATTCTTCTGAGTTCTGGAATAGAGATGTTAGCAAGACCTTTGCAGAGCCTTGTGTGGCTGGCTAGTGATTCAGTGGGGTGTTTGTGAAGCTCCACTAACCAGGCACCGAACTGGAAAGGGGCCGTAAGCTTTTCATTTCTGACTGGGCGAATTGCAGGTGAGGCTCTGAAGGGCAGTTTCTTGGAAAGCACCTGGTGATTTGATTTCTCTCTCCTCCTCTCTAGTCTGATGGATGGTTCTCTCAGCCCTGAGAAGGTCTCTCAGACAAATGACGTGCTAGGAGGTGTTTTTTCAGTTTGCTACAGCTCTGGGTTGAAAGCTGACAGCATCCAGTGCACGTTGATAAAAACACATCGTTAAGACATGCGGGCTGTGGACGGTACACGCCGTTCGCAGGATGCAGCTAATGTTTGACAAGACACCACAGCACTAATAAAACAGCGCCAAAGTGGGGCAGTTGTGTTTGCATGCTGATGAGGGGACCTTTTCCTGCTTCCTCCCAGCTATGGCACTTGTTACTGTGAGCTTTGTGGGCCTCCCCAGTGCTGGGAGAGGCGGGCGAACCTTTGGGTGACTGGGCTTTAGTTCAGGATTGGTTTTTTCCCCAAGGCCAGTGGGTTCTGTCATTTCTCAGTCTAGTGTGTTTTTTGTCCTGCTGGAAGGTGGGGTGATTGCATCCTGCCTGCTCTTCTCTGGTTAGAATTTCAGGCAGAAGTTAAAAGTGCAGGAACAGTCCATCTCTCACTGAACAGATCCAGCGTGGAAGCAAAACTGGGTCTACTGCAGAGCGCAGAGGCTGCTCCCAGGGGCTGA